TGCCTGAAAGAATGCATGATTTTAGAAAATTTTAATTTTTTTCAGGTTTAAATTAGCCAAACTTCATTTGTATTATTTTGAAATATGAATTAAAATGCTCAAAGGACCGTTGGTAAAAGATAAGACTTCTTCATACCTCTTTTCCTGAGCATACAGGTCTTCAAGAAACACCAAGATTTTCTGGTCCTTGACTATCTGTCTAGAAAGATGTTACATGTGTACAAGTGTATGTATACGTTTGTTTATACTTGTGTGTGTATGTCTATTCAGTTTCACCCTTACGTGGGTATATTAGCACACTTGTATCTTTTTTTTCACTTAACTAGATGTTTAATTTTGGGGAATGTATAGTATTATTCTTGTGGCTCAAAATTCAAAACATGCAAAGTGAAAGACATCTTTCCTTGTAACTTTGTCCCCAGGTCACCCAGTTCTCCTCTGCAAGAAATAATATCTGTACATATGTGTGATTAGATTAGAGTATCTCTAATCTCATCCCGTCTGTTTTTTACCTGGAAGCATTTTGTACCTGGTTGTTTGTCTTCCTGCCTAGTAGCATGTATCTTGGCAGTAGTTCCATGTCAGAGTGCAGTGAGCTTCTTGATCCTATTCTCTCTGTCCTCTCCACAGTTCCTCTGTATGGAGGTAGCAGAACCTCAAGGGGCCACTGAAAGGCAGAGAAAGGGTGTGAGCTGTGTTCTAAGCACAGGTGGCAGGAGCAAAGGTGAGGCAGGGAGGAAACACTTGCGGTGACAGGGCAGTGAGGATATGGCTGCCCAGGAAGGGCATGAGGAAGGTAGAAGACCGGGGATGTTGGTGGACAGAGCTGTGCATGGGAGGACCTGAGAGGATGTGTTGGGGAAGAGGTAAGTCTCTTGGCAGCCAGAATATACCCAAGTGACTGGAACCAGGCTGCTGAGCCCCCTGTGGTGGGACATCTGGGGTTGGGAAGAATTTCTGGTAGAGATGAATGTGGCTTTGTCTCTGATGTGACCTCTGCCTGTCTGTATGCCACACACAGATTCTGGTGGTTAGACTGCACCCTGCAGGGGTGGAATCATTGAACTCTTTACAGAGTCTTTATAATCATAAAATGAAATTCATAGATGATACAACTCAACAACAAACAGATTTTTAAAAAGTCAACATAAGTTCCTGTTAAAAAAGAAGACATACTGAATAATACACACAGAATTTGAATGTCTAAATGCTCACGTATGACTGCACTAAAAAACACTTCCCCACAATTTTCTAGAACATTTTCAGGTCAACGGGCAGCACAACTCCTGTTGACAACTACAGGGCAAAGTTACACTGTACTGCCGGGCTGTCTTACTAATTTATATTTTTATTTTTAGATAAGTGCCATAGGGTTCATTTCCATTTGCCGTATCGGTGGCAGTTCTTGGATGGAGGCAAATGGAAGGATTTTGACAAAATGGAGCTTATTGAAGAGGCATACTGCAGTCCTGGAAAAGACAGGTAGGATGTGCTGCTTGCCCCTCCTTTGTGCCTGGACTTTTGTTTGCAGGGTAGAAGGTTTGGTTTAAACAGCAGTGTTTAGTTTTGAACGCACATATACACTCACACTCTCTCTCTCTCACGCACACACACAGCAGTCTGGTCTGGAGGTAGAAGTAGTTCACGTCTGTGCTGTCTGTTTGATGGCTCTGTTCTACTTTCCTTGCCTCTTGAAGGAGCTATGGGAAAAGAAGATGGTGCCAACACCAAGCGAGTTGTCAGCTTTTTGCTGCTGGATTTGGTCACATATACAGTTACTTACTCATTATTGCAGCAAAGCAGAAGGTGATAACCTTTGAAGTTTTAGCCTCTTGCGTAAAGTCACACAGCTAAAGTACTGTTTATTGTTTGACCTTTAATGCTTTTATTATTTAAGTAGATACTGTATTGTCACTCACTCAATTCAGAGTAAATAGAGGAGTCCTAGATAGCCTCATCATAACTGGGACTAGATGTGCCGAGAAGAGCATTTGAGCCACCATTTGAGTACCTAAAATAATTTTGAACTTGCAGTGCAACTGCAGTTATTTGCAAATGGAAGGGCTCACATACCACCCATAATCTTTCTTTTTGAGGCGAGGTTTACACAGGAAAGTGCATAGATATTAAGTGAACAGCTCAGTGACTTTTGACAAATGCATACACTGTCATTGAGATAGAGGGTTCCTCATGTCCCTTCTGGTCAGTCCCACCCCACAGGCCATCACTGCTCCATCTTCTCTCACCTTAGGTTAGTTTTGCTAGTTCTTGAACCTCTTATAAATGCAACCATTTGTTTCACTGGTGTGTCTGGCATCTCTCTCTCAGTACCGTGTTTTTTTTTAAGACAGAGTCTCACTTCATAGCCCATGCTGGCCCCAAACTCATGATCTTCCTGTGTTGTCTCCCAAGTGCTGTGATTATAGGCATATGCCACCACAGCTGGTCCAGCACTATGCTTTGAGACTCTTCCATGTTGTGTTGGTCTCCTGTGTGTCTGTGGGTGGATGTTCAGCGGGGGAACTGCTGGGATTCCAACACGTCCTCAGCTTTTCCAAATGGTACCAAACTGCTTTCCACGGAGATGGTACTGCTTTCCACTCGTATTTGCAGTCTCTAGTGATATGTCCCTCTAACGTTGGTGTTGTCCGACCTCTGCATGTTTCCCAGGCTGGAGTAAATGCTCCCTCAGTCTCCATAGCTCCAATTCCTTGTGAAGAAAAGCTTCTCTTTCCTTCCCATTGCTGTGCCGTGTTCATTGCCATACCATTCCAGGTAGGAATGAACAGTTGTGTGTTTACATATCTTTTTTTTCTTTTTCATGCTGGGGTTTAAACTCAGGGCCTTAGGCTTGCTAGGCCTTATGCTCTACCACTTGAGCCATACTCCTTTTTCCTTTAAGTATCTTTCACATAGGGTCTTACACTTACACCCAGGCTGGCCTATACCCTGATCCTTCTGTTTATGCTTCTCACATAGCTGGGATGATAGGTGTACACCACTATGCGAGCTTTTATTCCCCATTGAGATGGGGTCTTGCAAACTTTTTGCCTGGGCTGGCCTTGAACTGAGATTCTCCCAGTCTCTGCCTCCGAGTAGCTAGGATTACAAGCATGAGCCACTGCACCCAGCTACTTATTTTGAGGAATGGTATTTCTGGATATTAAATATGAGTTTAAAATACACATTGCTAGTCAGCTTATTATGTCTTTTAATGAAGAGAAATATTTATCCGTTTTTCGTTTATGGTTTTGTACTTCTATGTGTCTTAAAAAAACCCTCTTTAATCCCAGACCATATGAAATTCTAGAGTTTTCTTCTAAAATCCTAACATTTTAAAATTACAATACTGTATTTAATTTCTCCCTTATGTGGTGAAGTTTGATTCCAGTTTCATTCCCACACAGATGAATTACCTGTTTTGCCAATGTCTACTTTTTAAATATTTGATTAGTTTTTTTGTGATAAAATACAAGTAACATAAAGTTTATCATTCTAACCACTTTCAGTCTGCAGCTCAGAGACATTGAGTATATTCACATGGTGCAACCACTAGCACTGTTCTTTTCCAAAAGTTAGTTTATTCCTGAAACCATCACAAGAGAGCCAAATTTAGTCAAACGTTAACTCATCTCATAGCTCACGTTCACATTAGGTGTTTTTTTTTTTTTTTTTTTTAATTTT